CGAGGAGCTTTCTCAATTCAAAGAGCAGAGAGTGAGAGATACAGGTAATAAGGCTGAGTGATATAAGACACTCACACACATAAGACACACACACACACGCATATATGTAGATTGGCAGTTCACACCTAAAAACCTAAACAGTAGGTCTTTGTTCCTCTAATTCACAGTCGAGGCCCCTCTGTTCCCATCAGGTGTGCAAACCGGCTGGGGATCTGTTTTAAAGTTGCATTATATGTTTTTGAAAGTGGAAATCTGAGGCCTCCTCCTCTGTTAAGAGACGGCTTTTCTCTTTCTACATAAATTGCTTCCTTCACCCCCCTCTCAAACCATCTGTGTTCTTGGTCCAAAATGTGCACATTTTGGTCCTCAAAAGAGTGTCCCTTATCTGTGAGGTGGAGGTGAACTGCAGAATTTTGTACAGAGGAGGTGGCTGTCCTGTGTTGAGCCATGCGTCTGTGAAGAGGCTGTTTAGTTTCTCCAATGTAGAGGTCTGGACAGTCCTCGCTGCACTGGACCACATACACTACACCACTCTGTTTGTGTATGGGTGTCTTGTCCTTAGGGTGGACCAGCCTCTGTCTGAGAGTCCTGCTGGGTTTGAAATGTACTGGGATCTTGTGTTTGTTGAAGATCCTTCTGAATTTCTCTGATACTCCAGCAACATAAGGGATGACAATGTTTTTACGTCTGTTGTTCTCCTTTTTCTGTTTATTAGTGTGTTTTGTAGATTTCCTCGCTGACTTGACAAAAGCCCAGTTAGGATATCCACATGTTTGAAGAGCTTCTTGAACGTGTTTCAGTTCCTTTTCCTTCCCTTCTGTCTTCGTGATTATAATATAGAGAAAGGATCATGGAAACATCCACAATGACAGTAAACAAGTAGAAAAGGTTATAAAGTCTAGTAAAATAACAGCATGGTGCATGCATTTATACACATTCCCCCAACAGCATCCTCCACTTCTCTTTCAAGCAAGTCTTGCTGGAGGTTTGCAGTCTGGAGCACAACTACATGGTCCAGGGGGTCCATATTCTAGATTCAGCAGCATTTAAACCCTGCTGGGGACCGTTTGTTCCAGTTTACTCTCAGCACATTCAAAGTATTTGAGCAGCGTTCTGTTTGAATTCTTGGACATACTGACAGCACTTTGTTGATATGTGCTGCTGATTATCCATGCTGCTGATTATTTCGTGCTGCTGTATTCATTCCTTCGTACCCATCCACCCACACAGGCTCATGTTCGTGCTGCTGTTGTTCGGTGTATTGTTTTTGTTTGGCATTATTAGTGTTAGTGTATTCTTAAATCTTTTAGCGTGCCGTTTGGCATTCACGTGTATCTTAGTTTATATCTTAGATACTTATTTACTGTTTCTTTTTATACTTTGTATTATTGCTATTGTTGGATGTAACTGGGATCCTGTGTACACAATTTCGTTCCACCTCTTGTACCACATGCGATGCAAACGACAATAAAGAACCTTGAACTTGACCTTGACCATTGGAAGCATCTTCCGACCTTCATTTTCCAGACTTCAACGTGGAAAAATAAATTCCCACCAGAATATGGTGCAAATTTTGAACATTCTTCATTTTACCTGGTTCTGCTTGATTCCTGCTGATTCCAAATAAGTGTGAGGATAAAACTACTGGATAAGACCAACACATTTCATGACCAGTTATTTTAGTGCAGCGTGACCTTCTGGGCCGGATTTTAGCAGGGGCTTACAGGGGCTGCAGCCCGGGGCCCCGGCATTTCAGGGGCCCCGAAGGATGTTTTATGTTTTTGTGAATGGATAATGTCAGAATTTAATCAATGACTATGATGATTTTGACAGCACCGATGAAAAATGTTCCAATTTGTCCTGGAAAACATCCATCTTGAATGCTTGCTTGTTATTGGTCCACTTTTGACGCATCTTACGCATTGGGGAGGAGCGTCAGGGAATATTATTTTACAATGGCAGACAACAGTGTTTGTGGTTCTAGTTCCTCCAAATAAGATGAATGCAGAAGTGTCATTAATAAATGGAAATCTGTATTTTGTTCTTCATATTTTTCAAGATGTTCTCTGTAAAAACCTTGGTCTATATATATATATATATAT